TGTTTTTATTTTGTGTTTTTTGGTGGTGGATCTGCTTTCTTGTGTGACTCAAGGGCCTCAACTACAAAAATCATCTGTAGAGGATGGGTAGATCAAGAAATGGTGCACTTCACCTGGTGCATTGTACCAATTTTATTTAATTTATTTCATTCCGGAGTACTAATGAAGATGGAAATTATATTCTCTATTTACTATGGTTAGTATATGAATTGTGCTCTCCAACTGTCGCCATTGCTGTCGGTTATTGAGTCGATTTCCTACGATTCTCTGAACATATTTTTCTAGGTGTGGAGCTTCACTTATGAACTCTTTTCTTTTCAATGTGGGCCTCATTCTTCTTTGCTCAATTAGGTAATTGGTATATTATCTATTGTTCAGTTTTATGTGCATCTTGAATTTCAAATACAGGCTTAGACTATAATATAAGACTATAATATATAGTTCATTCTTTTGATATGCTTATATTGATTCTATTGAGAATTTGAATTTGTCATTTTAGCAATTTCACGTAATGTTGTTTATTTAAGTTATATTCCCTTTTCATACAAATTTCAAAGTTTATCCAGTTAGTATATTGCAATGTAGGATATCAAGTTAGTATTATCACACCTTATTTTCATAAATAAACATCCGATCATGGCTACTCTATACTAATTTTTGGTTGAACTTTGCAGTGTGATTCAGTTTTGTGACACAACATTTGCGTATTATGCTCAAGTTACTGCAGGACTCACATTTATATATTATGCCGCTTTTGTAAGTTTTCTCAACTAAAAGATCTTTTTCCTAAATGAGATTATTGTTTATCTCCAAGTGTACCTCTGTTAATTTTTCTCTATCATATTTCATTGTGGATGGATACTAAATAGTAGTTGCATTTCACGTGCTTCTACTTTTTATTTGTTGTTAATGGTGAAAGATAACCTTTGTAATTTTGTTGCCAACAATATAGATGAATAAATGTTGCCTTGCAAATTGGTAACAATTATATTAGGTAGTCACTTTTGGAAATTCATATATTTCAAGCTGAAGGTTTTGGCCTATGTCTTTATGAGGTGTGTATGAGTACATGTTGGTCTTTATTTTTAATTTTTCGTGATTGTTAAGACTGCGGGTTGTCCAAGTATATAAAAACAATAAGTTTGGCGTCTATATTTCAGTTGAGATATTACTTTGGCTTGGACCTATATACAGCTGGCATGTGAACTGTTATATTGTACCCGTTATCCAAGAGTCTTAAAAGCGGAGGAGAAAAATTCTCGACATGTTGTACAAATAGTACTACGCTTCTCGCTCTTTGTTCAATATTTTTTATTTACTCTTGATGGGATGAAATAAATATAAACTAGATATGATGCTAATATTGTTGCGTTCTTGATACAACAAGCTTTATTTGTTCAACAAAGGATACAATGCATCTCAACTGACAGATTTACTTGCTTTTGGGGTGGTTTCCTTTGCCAATTTATTATTGATTTATTGTTCAAATTGATCACATTTTTGTTGTAACAATAACATCCATTTATGCCTTAAGAGCCCAAAATAGGACCATAGATTTAATGGAACTGAAAAACCTCTATTACTTGGATGAATTTATGTTCCTGAACTTGAATTAGGATTATGTTTTCACGAAAAATCAAGGCAACTAACCATCTTGATTTCTGATAGACTTTCTTTTGCTAGAAAATATGGGATGGTCTGGTTGCTAACATTTTGAGTACGTCTTTTCTGTGGATCAAGAGCAGCTTAGGTGGCAGGTTGCGTCTTATTGTCTCTGGTGGAGCAGCATTAAGTAGTGAGGTCGAGGAGTTCCTAATGGTTATTTTCTGTGCACTTGTAGTACATGTGTCGGGTCAACTAACTGTTTGTTGTTTGTTTTTTACGAGAGAGAGAGAGAGAGAGAGAGAGAGAGAGAGAGAGAATATGAACTTCACTATATTAATAAGCCAGCAATTGAATTACCTATGCTTTTCAATAGCCTTTCAAAATTTGGAAGAATCTGGAGCTATCATTGCCTTCTTTCTGAGGTCATGAGGCCTGTTAATACGCTTCTTTTCAATGGCCTTATTATTTTTACATGTCTTACGCTCGACCATGTGGTTCTAGGTTATGAAACGTGAGCTCAGTTTTATTTGATATATTTATTTGACATATATCTCCCCCTTACATATAAGCAAAAATGTAAGGGGTTGTGTGCCTGACACGTGTCAATTTTTTTGGGACATAAATGCCCTCCACTTTCACCTATTTTTACGCTACTGCCACTTTCACTTAAATAGCCTTTTTTTAAGAAAGTGCAATATTGGGAGGACAATAATGTAAATTTTATGTCCTCATTTCCTACTGTTGTTGGAGACTATTTCGGTCATTCAGTAAACTTTTTTCCTTAATTTCTGCTGCAAAATGTTTTGTCCCCAACCACTCCATTTGACTCTCGTTTTCAAAGAGAAAAAGGGTTCGTCATTTTGTCCCACCCTCTCACTTTCTGAAAAACACAAATTCTTATCCCTAATCCCAAACTAGCAATTAATGGAGCTCACTCCACAGCAGATGAAAAACTACGATGGCAACTACCCTTCGAGGTTGAATTACGTGGCGTTCCGCGGCTGGATGTACGACGTGACCATCCGTGCGCTCGCGAAGTTGGGAAAGGACGAAAGCGACGCCGTACGCTAACTCGACGGCCTCGCGATAGAAGGGAACCGGCGCCACCGCCGTGAAACCGTCCGCGATCTACCAGCTTTCGGGTCAAATTGGACGGCTTCTTCTTCAAAGGTCTATTTTGATTTTTGTAGGGTTTATCTTCTTTTAATTTTTACTGGTTTGCATCTGTCTATGGGTCTAAATTTACTGATATTTTGGTTTTCAATGATTTGGCGATGATAAAAGATTGCTTTTTATTTGGCCCCCACATCAAGGTCAAAACCCTGATCGAGGTCTAAGCGAGTCCAGGGGCGGTGATATCGCGAAATGGATGGACGAGCCGCTGAAGTTAGAGGAGTTGGACTG